TAGCAGATAACAGTGACAATGAAACTAACTGTAATTATTACGATTTACGAATAGCGAAGACGAATTCCTATATATCGTATCCTCTAATCTCAGCCAGTCAACGCTAACGCATGAGCGCTATATAGTGTTACAATGTCAACAAAAAACTCCGTTATTACAGCAAAGAAATCTTTAGTTTGATGAGGAGTGTAACTATGCAGAGATACAATAGCAGATAACAGTGACAATGAAACTAACTGTAATTATTACGATTTACGAATAGCGAAGACGAATTCCTATATATCGTATCCTCTAAACTCAGCCAGTCAACGCTAACGCATGAGCGCTATATATTGTTACAATGTCAACAAAAAACTCCGTTATTACAGCATTGAAATCTTTAGTTTGATGAGGAGTGTAACTATGCAGAGATACAATAGCAGATAACAGTGACAATGAAACTAACTGTAATTACTACGAATAGCGAAGACGAATTCCTATATATCGTATCCTCTAAACTCAGCCAGTCAACGCTAACGCATGAGCGCTATATATTGTTACAATGTCAACAAAAAACTCCGTTATTACAGAAAAGAAAGCGCGCCTAGTAGCCTACGAAAATTTGGCAGCATTTCTAGCCCGTCTCTACATAACTGGGTAGTGATCGAGATCCCTCGTGCAATGGGCAGAACTGCTCAATTCAGCGAAAAGCCGCTTTAACCTAACCCTAGGAAAGGAACGGAGTACTTGCGTTGGGTAGAAGGCAGCGAAATTGCTAAAGTGCGCCGCGAGCGGCGTTTGAGCGCTTCGCGCGGATATCCGGCTGCAGACTGTCTAGTGATGTGTTGTTTTGAACCATCCATACATATGTGTTTGTACATGTACGTAATCCATCTAAACATAACACTGTGTAGTGTATTGCATTACATACAAGTGTAGGCAAGGTGCAAAATTAACGGGAGTCCGGAGTCAAATACTCCCTGATTTACTGTCGGACTACCTGATTTGATATATGCAGGAGTCCGTGTGACTCCCTAAAAATTCTGCCATACTAACTAGTTCGTTCCGAAGCACGGCCTCGCGGAATTACTGTATTTGTTCAGCTAATGCCCAAAGAAAATTTGCCAGACGTGCAACTGCATGAATCTTAAAAATAAGCACATGCGTTATAGTTAATATCTTTAATGTTGAACCTCAGACGGCGGACTCCCCTATTTTGCTGCGGACTCCCTCTTTTTGAGGGTAGGGAGTCCGTTGGACTCCCTTGTTCAAAAGTTAAGTTCTACCCCTGTGTAGGCCTATGTTTAAAAAAAACTCACTTAAGTATGCACCAGAAATTGAATCCACAATTTCAAGCTGAAAATGCAAAAGCTCCCTGGTGTGGGAGGTGGTTGCCCCCTCCCATACCCTCCCGCTCAGTCGCCCAGCTCCCTGACATAATCTCACTCACAACTCTAACTCAATGTTGGCAGCCCTGCGGGTAGAAGAATGTATAGCGTGCAGGAGTACTAGTTGTGTGGTGGCTCGACCAGGCTCTACGACTATTTCATGTCGTAAGACTGTTTCTCACCACGTAGTGAAAAGCGTTATGGCTAGTAGCAATTAACATATGGCTGAAACACACCGTACTTGTGTCTCGAACGGACACTTTGGAAAGTCACTGTCAAGTTGGTCGGCATAATGTAACGCGAAGACAGTAATCCTGCTGTTCAATGTCCTTTGTGTACATGTAGATGTCATCTTGGATGACCAAGTTATCCACAAATTGCACCAGTAATATTCGTTTGGGAAATTTTCGGCAGAACATGACATTTGGCCAAAATTTTGCTTTTTGTAAATAGTGCAATGTGAGTGGAGAGAATTGTAACATGCCAAGGCGTGGGGTAGTATTGTCTCATAATGACTTTGTTTTAAGTCTAGCTTGTTGATCATTTTTCATCCATTTATGTCTTCTATAACGTATTCTATGGTCGGGGTAATGTGGCGCTCGTGTGTGATAGCTATTGTTTTTTCTCAGTTTTATTGGCAACACATAATCACATGATCACATGAACAGTTGGAATTAGAAATGTTATTATACCAATACTTCCTCGTAGAGTGTTAGCTTATGCAAAGAACTATCCTAGCACCTTTTACCTGCACTAAATCACTAACTGTTTTTCATATACTTTTAGGTTTCCAAAAAAATCTGTAGCGACCAAGTAGCCACTTCTCATATACGGCTGACGGGTTACATCTAAAGACGAAACATATCAAGGGCATTGTGCACATTTTCAATGGCATCTGTTGGCATTAAGGTTGCTCGAAGCACAAGTAATTTGTGTGATATGGTACGTGCAGTTACTGAGCTAAGTCTATGCAATGTACAATAATAGACCTGTTATCTGAGCGATAAAATAACTCAAATTCTATACTAATATTATGTTATTTTGCAGACAAATAGCTACAAAAACAACTCGACTCCACGTGGATATTGCTTGATCATTAATAATGAAACATTCAAGAGCTTGAAACCCCGGAAGGGATCGCAGAAAGATGTAAAGAATCTGCGTCAACTATTTAAAGATCTTGGCTATGAGATTTGGGGCACAGAAGCAAACACAAGTAATTTGACTGCGCAGGTAACCGACAAGTTGTTACTATATTTCTAATAACTACTATATTTCTACAAACAAAGCATACTCAAGGACTGCTGAGGTTATTTAAGCCAAAGCACAATTTGTGACGTTCTTGACATGGTAAATATATTACAGATCTATACAATAAACTGAGCTGTTATTTTATTTTGCTATAATTAAACAGTGACTTCATGCAAGAGGTCATCTATTTTTGGTTTTAGCTATTTATTATTTTATTAAATTTATAAGCATATCAGTATGATGGTTTATGAGCAAACTGCCTGAGTGGCAAATAAGCTGGCCAGCGACTAGATGGCCGACTCCACCAAGGAATGAATTGCGGAAGTGATTAGTTTTTGTTCTCATAGGAAATGAAAATTGTTGTAAAAGACTTTGCTGCTAGTGACAAACACAACAGTGTCGACTCGAGCATTGTTGCCATCTTAAGCCATGGTGGTGCGGAAGACGTGATATATGGAGTAGACGAGAAAGAGGTTTCATTTACTAATGACATTCTTCGTCTATTCGAAGGTAAAGATTTTTAATCTACCTTCTGCGTTAAGTATTTAGTAGAGAGTTACATAGATGTAATATAAAGCGAATTCTCATTAACAATGAATAACGAACGTGTCAAATTTATGTATTGTGAGCATATCCCTGAAGATCACAAATAAAAGGTTACCTGTTTTTCGTGTTCTTTTGGCAGGACACAATGCACCGGGTCTAATGCAGAAACCCAAGTTGTTCATTCTTCAAGAGTGTCGTGGAGGTATGACGTATATAGGAATGCATGCTGAGTCGCTTGCACATGTACATGCAATATTACCTATAGTATTGACAAATGACCGTCTAAAAA